TGTTTGCTCAACGTTTTTATCCTTAGATTCATTTTTATCAAAGCCTATTCCTTCCTTAGAAAAATGCATAGTGTCTAGAAGTAAATTAAGATCTTTGTGTGGTGTATTGAACTTCTTAACCGTACTCTCAAGTTTTGCAACCTTCTCTTTTAAAGTTTTGCAAGATTCACATTCACTTGAAGAACTTTCTGGTTTGTCGACGCTTCTTTTACCATAAAATTTATTTTCTTGTTTCAACTTTTCATTATCTTTTTCCAGTTTTTGAAAATCATTTTCAAGGGTTGAAAGACGTTTCTTTAGTGATTTGTTGGTTTTAGAAGCGCTAACAAATTCATCATAAAGTTCTCGAAGAGCTTCTTGCATCTCTTCAAGAGTGTAAGAGTCGGAAGAAGGGGTACATACCTCTTGAACGTCGTCGGTTTGATCTTCGTGCACCATGAGGCAGAGGTTGGCGGCTTCCTCCTCTTCTTGATCAGTTGACTCGTCACTGGAGTCGCCACCCCATGAGATATAGGCTCGTTGCTTTTTGAAGCCAGGTTTGTCCTTGCCGCTTTTGCCTTTTGGACACCTCGGCTTGATGTGGCCTATCTCGCCACAGCCATAGCACTTCGGGGGACCGTCGTGCTTTCTTCCTTTGCGCTCAAATTCCTTCTTCATAAATTTCTGGAATTTCTTGATGACGAGTCCGAACTCGTTGTCATCATCGCTTGAGTCTACTTCCACGGTTTCCTTGGTTGCTTTCTGATAAGTCCATTTTGTTCTTATCATTTACATCATATTCTAAAAGTTATTGCACGTAAATAGTATTTAATCATCTCATAAAATGTGTTTTCAATGAATAAAACTCTCATTTTCGTTCTAAGAGTCATGAAAAGGGATTCCACATAAAATTATCATAAATCATCCATTTTATGTTCAAATACTTGAGAAAAAGGGAATAAATCATCAAGGGATCAAGATTCGGGCTTGAACGAGCTTCCGAGAGGTCAAAAACAGTGTTCGGGGCCAAAACGGAGCGAAATTGGGCCAAAATCACGAACCAGCCGCGAAGCCCAACGGACCAAGGCCTCCAGGCGTCCAACTTGGACGCTTGGCCAAGTTGGACGCTTGAAGTTGGACGCCTGGGCTAGATTGCAATCCAAGAAAGACACGTGGCAAAATCTGGTTGGCCGGAGCAGCTCAAGCGTCCCGATCTGGACGCTTGGACTTGGACGCTTTGACTTGGACGCCTTGGATCCATTCCTATAAATACAGCACGATTCTTCTCATTTTTATCATCCCATTCCATCCCAACTTCGGGATTTACATATCCCGTCTCCATTTTAGCTTGTATATTAGTTTTAGTAGTTAGTTTGAAGTATTTTCCGGAGGTTTTGACTCCA